ATGATATTAACATTCCAAATAGTATTGTCTATGTCACGGTATGTAATTTTATTTTGGACTCACATGAATGGAATTTGGATCTTCTACAAGATTTCATTCCTCCGGAGTTACTGGAAAAAATATGGAGGACAAATTGAGTTGGCCGAGCTTACATGGTAAAGTTAGCCTACCAAATATAGGCAAGAATCCATGACGAAACAAATGACATGGGGTGAATACAGAGGTTAATTAAAGTGCATTGAAAGGATCAAGATGTTTGTTTGGTGCATTGCCAAAGGGAGTTTGTTGACTAATGCGGAACGGAGGAAGAAGGGGCTGGTAAACGAGGGGGAGTGCCCGAGGTGCAGGGAAGAGTAAGAATCCATTAAACATATCTTCCAGGAATATCGATGTAACACCCCCGATTTTCATGCCATTTTAAACTTAAACATGCAAGATATTCGAACCATAAGCATAAACAAAACACAGCGGAAGTCTAATTATATAAAACTGGAAAACGGAGAGTGTTATGCCACGTCCACACTAAGTGAACGCGCACATGCAACAACACCATCAACATCAATCTAAGAGGTCTATCAAAAGAGGCACACAAGCCCAAAACATAACTAAAAGAGTATGGGGGACTAAACTAGCCATCTCTATATCGCGCTCGCCACTACTCGGGACCTGAAAAGCACATAAATAAATGGAACGACACCCGGTCAGCGAGTGATGCTGGTAACCCATCAATACACGTTAAGTATCATACGTAGATAGTATATACAAAATCATTTTCAAAACGGAATACTGTATATATAAGTTCAAAGCCAAAGATAGAAGTCAACCACAGGACTCTATATACATATACACACACACACACACACTCACATATACTAGAAACGCCACTCCCATACTAAGAGAAAATTTTATTTTTGGTCCTATGACTATTGGGATGTTATTAATTGGAGTCCACAATACCACCGGAGCATTGCCAAAATTTGCGACCTGGATTCTCATTTGTCCATGAAATTCGAATCTTATATTGGTGACCACATCTACAATGGATAATTGAAAACCTTTCTCCAAATTCATATTACCAATTACCATAATTCGAACAAGAAGAATAGGAATTAGACATACCCAGGTACAGTGGAGTAGATGGAGAATGACGCATAATGCTTCTCTTCCTTCTTCTCTTCGTTCTTCTCTTTCTCACTGCTTCTGTGTTTAGGGCTCAAACGAAGTGGAATGAATAGGCTAAAATTAACTTTCCCTTTTTCGCATAAACATGGAAAGATGAAATTTCCCTTGTCATTACACATAATATGGTCAATTAAAATTTTTCAGTGAGTTTTAACTGGTAATTTGACTAGAGTGACTGAAATGGAGAAAATTTGAATAGTTAAGGATTTAAATTAACAATTTTTAAATTTATGGACTCCAATTAACAATACTCCAATAGTCATAGGACCAAAAGTGAAAATTTTCTCCATATTAATTTTTCCTAGTTTTATCCATGTTTCAAAACCTTCCTAAAATGTCACATTAGAAACATTCCTAAAATAAGTCAATAGCCCAATTAGTTATAAATACTCAACATTCACAATTTTTACCATTTCGAGATTTTTGTATGAACTTTGCGCGTTAACGTTTTAAATCACTTATCATTATGTTCACAGGTTTTTACATATAAATGTACCCAAATCATAATATAGTGTTCATGTTAGGACTCTAGTATTAGTAGTCTAGTAGAACTCTTTATACTTGTCTTCTATATTAGTATTGTATAGACTATTATTCGTTTCAGTTAATCAATACAATCCTCATCTGGTATCATATCTAGGTTTCTTTCCATGGCAGCTTTGGGTAGGAATGACGATGGATCTGTTCGTGATTCTTCAGAACGGACTGTCTCCGAGGTTGCCTCTACCCCCATTTATCCGTCTCCGAGCTTGTCCAGTGTTCATCACTTTGTGTCGATCAAGCTCACCGCACACAATTATCTGTTCTGGCGTACCCAGATGCTCCCGTTTCTCGAAGGTCAGGGGGTGTTGGGATTTGTTGACAGCTCGGTGGAATGCCCGGTGGTTGCCTCGCCGGAGTCGTCGACGGCGGACAGCGGCAGTACTGCCTCGGCAGTAGCGTCGCCGGTGGTGCAGTGGCGTCGGCAGGACAAGGCTGTCCTGTCTCTCTTGATCTCGTCCCTGTCGGACGAGATGCTACCGTTGGCGGTGGGCCGGCCGACGTCGCGTAAGTTGTGGTTGGCAATTGAGCAAGAGCTCGGCTCGGCAACGCGGTCTCGCGCGGTTCGTTTGCTCAGTGAGCTGCAGCGTTTGTCGCAGGGGGCTTCATCGGTTTCTGATTATTTGAATCGGGCGCGGATTTTGGTGGAAGATTTGGCCCTTGCTGGGCGTCCGGTTCCTCTTGATGAGCAGAATATTTATGTCTTCCGTGGACTGCGGTCGGATCTTCGCCCGCTTGTTGCTCCGTTGACTCGTGGTGACCCGGTAACTCTCTCGGATCTTTTCGATTATTTAATTTCTCAAGAATATATCTGCGCAGGTGATGGTCCGGTTGGTGCGCCGGCTGCCTTGACCGTTCACCGTGGTGGCCGAGGCGGTCGTGGCAGAGGCCGGTTCTCCCGAGGTGGCTCGGGCAATGGGGGTTCCGGCGGCAGTGGTTCGGGCAGCGGCAATCCGGGTAGTGGCGGCCGTGGTCGCTCGGATGTGCGTTGTCAAATTTGTGACAAGATTGGGCACTCGGCGGTGAATTGTTGGCGCCGTTATTCTGAGTCGTCTGGTCCTCAGGCTAATGTGGCTTTTTCTGGTGGTGAGGGTGGTTCGGTTGACTCTCACCAGTGGTTTCCTGATACGGGGGCTACTAATCATGCCACCCCCGATTCCTCTCAGTTGATGTCCTCGGCAGGTTATGACGGTTCGGACACTCTTCGAGTCGGCAATGGTGAAGATATGCCTATTTTTAGTGTTGGGTCTACTTCGATAGCCTCGTCTTCTAGGGTGTTTCGATTAGATGATGTTTTGCATGTCCCTGGTTTGTCTTCCTCTTTGATCTCTGTTCAGCGCTTTGCTAAAGATAATCGTGTCTTTTTTGAGTTTCATCCTGATTGTTTTCTTGTGAAGGATCTCTTGACCAGGGAGGTGGTTTTTAAGGGGGGAACTTCTGGTGGCTTATACTCCTGGCCCGCGTCTTCTGCTCGTTCTGTTGCTTATGTTGCTGCGCGTGCTTCGTCTTCTACGTGGCACAAGCGGCTTGGTCACCCTCATACTCGGGTTCTTCGTCAGATTTTGCAGTCTTCTGGTGTTAGCAGTTTTAATTCTAGTGATTTATCTCGTTTATGTTCTTCGTGTCAGTTAGGGAAGTCATCCCGTTTTTCTTTGCCTCGTGTTGAAACTAAAACTACTCGTGTACTAGAATTGGTTTATACTGATATTTGGGGCCCTGCGCCTGTGCACTCTGTGAATGGTTTTCGTTACTTTGTTTTGTTTGTGGATGACTTTACCCGTTTTATTTGGTTTTATCCGATGCGCTTAAAAACTGATATATATTCCATATTTGAACGGTTTCGGTCACTCGTTGAGCGCTCGTTTTCGCAGAAAATACTTTCTATTCAGTCTGATTTAGGGGGAGAGTATAAGAAACTTCACTCTACCTTTGAGTCTCTTGGCATTCGTCACAGGCAGTCCTGTGCATACACACATGAACAGAATGGGAGGGTAAAACGCCGTAATCGGCACATAGTTGAGACTGGTTTGGCCCTGATGGCTCAGGCGTCTGTTCCATCTCGTTTCTGGGACTATGCGTTTGAGACTGCTGTATACTTGATTAATAAAATGCCTACCAGTGTCTTAAACAATGAGTCTCCTCACTCTCGTCTGCACCGGTCTCCTCCGTCCTATTCCTTTTTGCGTGTCTTTGGGTGTTTGTGTTTTCCTTTATTACGTCCCTATAACCGTAATAAATTGGAATATCGTTCTTCTCCTTGTGTGTTTTTAGGGTATCCTGACTCTTTTCGTGGCTATCGTTGTCTGAATCCTGTCACTAATAAGGTCTTTATCTGTCGCCATGTGCGATTCGATGAGTCCGTTTTTCCTTTTGCTGGATCCGTTGCTTCACAGGTGGTGTCTCGGCCTCCAGTGGTGCCGTGGGGTGTTGCCCCCATCGTGCCTGTCTCCTCTTTTGTTAAGGAACCTGTAGATGATCCGTCGGTTCCGGATATGCCCGCGGGTCCGGTTGACTCTGTCTCCACTGAACGGACCGTTTCGGCCGTCCCTAAGGCTTCTCGTGGCCGACCTCGTGGTAGTAAGAACAAGGTGGCAGGTCCGCCCTCTCATGTTATGGCAACGAGGAGTCGGGGCCCGCAGCAGCATGTGGCTCTCGTTTCTGCTACTACAACTCCCGAGCCGACATGTTACTCTCAGGCTGTGGTGCATCCGAAATGGCGTGAGGCCATGGATGCTGAGTTTAATGCTCTACTGCAAAACCAGACTTGGAATCTGGTCCCGTACACTCCAGGTATGAATGTTGTGGGTTGCAAGTGGGTGTTTCGGGTGAAACGGAATGCTGATGGGTCTATTGAGCGACATAAGGCTCGTCTGGTAGCCAAAGGTTTTAATCAGGTCGCTGGTAAGGATTTCTTTGAGACTTTCAGTCCGGTGGTCAAGCCAACCACGGTTCGTCTTCTTTTGTCACTTGCTCACTCCCGTGGTTGGTCCATTCGTCAGCTGGATGTCCACAACGCTTTTCTGAACGGTAACCTGGCGGAGACAGTGTATATGCGTCAGCCGCCTGGTTATGAGGACAAGTCTGTTCCTGATTATGTTTGCCATCTACAGCGTTCATTGTATGGACTGAAGTAGGCTCCTTGTGCCTGGTTTACCCGATTGCATGACTTTCTGATCTCTGTTGGCTTTGTTCCGTCCAAGACTGACGTTTCGTTGTTTATATATTCTGTCAGTGGTGTGCAGCTTTATTTTCTCCTGTATGTGGATGACATTTTAGTCATGGGATCGGACTCGAGCCGTGTTGATGGGCTTGTGGCTCAGCTGGCGCGTACATTTAAGATTCGGGACATGGGACCCCCGTCTTTCTTTCTTGGCATTGAGACGATGTCACTATCTGATGGTATTCTTCTGTCTCAACGGCGTTATATACAGGATATTCTTAGACGTGCAGGCATGGTTGACTGTAAATCGGTTTCTACGCCTATTTCGGTGGCTCGGTCTGATGTTGATGATTCTACTCCGTTTGCTGATCCTACTCACACCGTAGCATTGCGGGTGCACTTCAGTACCTGACGGTGACTAGGCCGGATTTGTCTTATGCGGCTAACAGGCTTTGTCAACGCATGCAGTCGCCCACCACTGCTGACTGGGCGGTTATGAAACGTGTTCTGCGGTACGTGAAAGGCACTCTTGGTATGGGTCTCTGTATTCGCAAGTCGGAGTCTCTTGCGTTGCATGCGTTCTCGGATTCGGATTGGGCAGGTAATCCGGATGACCGAAAGTCTACAAGTGGGTTTGCCGTCTTCTTGGGGTCCAATTTAATTGCTTGGTCTTGTCGGAAGCAGCGGACAGTGGCGCGGTCCTCTACTGAGGCCGAATATAAGGCACTGGCTGATGTGGCGACGGAGGTCACGTGGTTGGTTTCTTTGCTGCGCGAAATTGGCTTTCCTCCAGACTCTGCGCCGGGGCTGTGGTGTGATAATCTGGGAGCAACATACCTCTGTGCTAATCCGGTTTTTCATGCACGAACAAAGCATGTTGAAATTGATTATCACTTTGTTCGAGACAAGGTTGCCAAGAAGGAGTTGCAGGTTCATTTTATTTCCACGAAGGACCAGCTAGCTGATATTTTCACCAAGCCACTTGCATCTGCTCGGTTTTCATTGCTTCGGGACAAGCTCAATATTTCGAATGCTCCACCTTGAGCTTGAGGGGAGTGTTAGGACTCTAGTATTAGTAGTCTAGTAGAACTCTTTATACTTGTCTTCTATATTAGTATTGTACAGACTATTATTCGTTTCAGTTAATCAATACAATCCTCATCGTTCCAACACATTCAAATTGATGCTAGTTCTGACTTCGGAGACTTACAAAAGAGTACCTAAGGTGTCAAATTAAATTCCTCCAAAATGTAAAACTAGTGGAATAGCACAGTGAACTTCCCAAAACCATAAAATAACAGAAACAGCTCATTGTTTTCTTTGACCACGTAGCAAAAAGAAAAAGAAAAAAAAAAAAAAAAAAAAAAAAAAAAAAAAAAAAAAAAAAACTTAGTTCGAAGTTCACAGCAGCAGTTTCATGCTTTTCACATGAACTCTCCACATGCAATCAAGTTTTCGATGATGACTGCATGAAATTGAACAAGATGTTTGATCAGGTTTCTTGAATATATGAAACCGTATCACAAGGCACACAGGCAGTTAAAAGACGAAGCTTGACAATGGTGGAGAGGAGTGCTATTTGTGTGTGGTAGAAACTAGAAAGCATCAGTACCAGTAGACTCAATTCAGCTTGTTTTTTGAAGATCTCTGCATTGGCTTTGCCATCGGTCTTGCTGGTCCACCTCGCATAACCCTCTTTACGTCATACTTCACAGACAGGAATGCACAGACCAAGGCTATCAACATTGTTGGATAGACAAACACCGTTCTTGTAGGATCAGGGTTAGCTTGTTTGTTAAGTATCCCTTCCTTGACAAGACCCCAAATAATAAGTAGTGTTCCAAACATGCTCATCCTCCCAGCTTTAATGATGCCAATGAAAGCTCCAGCCACAGAGAAATAGCTTCCAGCAAGAACCTATTTGATAACAAGGCATCAGCTCGTGTACAAGCAGTCAAAAACATAACATAGAAACTGACAAGATGTAAATTTTGATTAAAGATTTCAAACTCTCAAGAAAGAGGAATGATATTGAAGATGGACACATCACATATTACTTGAAAATGGGTTTACAAAAAAATGTCCTAGAACATTAGTATCTTACCATGAGAGATTTTACCTGATCATAAATTATACAGTAAAAGAGACACTAGTGGAAAGGAAGCACTTATTTTCTTCTAAGCGCCTAATGGTATAGAAGGCAGGATTTATTTTATTTTAAGCTCAATCAACTGCAGTATCATGCAGCTGTTTCTTCTCTTTTGTATTTGGAAGAGGTGGGAAAGAGATTGGGGTGCTTGTCCTGATGTACATAAACAGACTCATCCTACACACACAAAACCCAACCTTCTTCCCAGTTCCCACAGTGGGACAAAATCTTAAAATTTCAGGTTGCACTTGGTTCTTAAATTTTGGAATCCTCCCTTGGTGCAATAAGCTAAATAAAAAAATTGACAAACGATGAATCACTAAGTCACTATTCTCCATACGAAGTTCATATCCTGTCTACAATGTGAGTGAATATTCAAGTGGCATACAATTCAGATTAATCATTCCATCTAGAAAATAGAACAAGCTGCGTATGGAACAATTTATTACCAAATGAATGCAACACAATAAAATAAGACAGCAATTTACATTTGCATTCTTTGTGACAGAAGGTAAGAAGTTCGGGAAAAGAAAATTAGAAAAGGAGATAAGAAGTTTAAAGGAAAACCTCCAAGCGCTGTAGGTCAGTTGCTGCAGAAGCCTCCTTTATATTAGTTAGGTTGTAAATATTTAGCAGATTTTCCCAGCTAGGAACAGTCATATTCTTGATTAAGCTATTTGTGGTTGCCCCGGGGTACAGGAGGGCCTTGACAACTGGAACAGGAAATATATCACTGGCAATCAACTGGGAAGATGTGACTTGCATTGGAGTCGTGCACATACCAGATCTACATGGAACCCTAAAGAAATAGAATGTCAAAAGGGATTAGTGAAAAACAAACAGAAAACCCAATTGCTCCATCTTCTTTACTAGAACACATTAGCACTATATCTGATGTGATAGTTATTAAAATAATATCAGAAGATTTACTAGCAATCATTCATTAATGTTATAACCATTGCATAAAAGACATTATGGATCAGCAGCTTCATCATTATAATGAGAGAAACCCAAATTCAAAGTCAAAAAGTTACCAATAGCAAATGCATTAGAGATAATCCTTAAACCTTTAACTAATAGTTCCAAAATAAGTAACAGCCTATACCTACGTAATTCCACATCTCAGGCTTATGCTGAAAAGGAAAGTTTCTTACTATTTACTTAGTATTAAATAAATAAATGGATATGAGATTATTAAAGCAAATACAAATAGAAGGAGAATATCAATAGCATAACTGTAATTATTCAAATTTAGCTCACAGATATTCAATTGGTTACTATTATAGCCCATTATCTTCTATAGACCACCACCAAACTCATTCTATACAGTTGAAACCAAAATTGCCACACGATTCTCTTGATTATTGTTTGAAGACAAATTCAGCTCATGTAATATTAAGCTAAGTATAACACATTGATATAACATTATGATTTAATCCCAATGTATGTAAATTCCAACAAGCCCTTTTCATTAAATTTACGGCTGCTAATTGGGGAACAGGTGCTGCATTTAATTTTGACAGGAAAGATTTTTACATGGAGGCCAGGGAAAAACAAAACTGTTCCAAAGCAGTTTTAGAGTCAATTATTGGTTTTCTTTTTTTCTCTTTTTTAACTCAAGTGGATTTTATCAACACTTCCATAAATCAAATCAAGCTCCCAAGTAGACAAATCTGATCAATAATCATCCTTCTTAACTTCACTTGCAGTCTTATATACTCTTATCTATATTATGTTCTTCAAATATGTGACTCTTTGGCACAATTTAATATACAAGACTGTAATAGAGTATGCCCCTTCAAATGCAATATTCTTTTCTTTTGTATGCTATCTCATGAATATCCTAGGACAAACTAAAATCTTAAACCATCCATTCATTTCCAAAAAAACATAATCTACACAAGCTCTGTCCAGAACCAGAAACTAATAAAGCTCCTTAGCATCAATACTACCAACCGAGATTTATTAGATTTTAAATAAACTAAAGTCACTTTTACCAAAAAAAAGTCCAACAAATAGGAAACACTATAGAACGCTGGCAATTCACTCTAAATTTTTGGCACAGATCACAAAACTAACTCCTATAATACTAGAAAACAGCCTGTAAAACACTGCTAAAACGGTTCCTACTAAAATTCTGTGTGTAGTGCATTTTCATTTTCTAGTAAACATTGAGGCAAAGTCAAAACAATACTGAATCACTTGTCCGATAGCGAAATCGAAGCATATATAGGTGCGCGCGTGTACCTGAAAAGAGGAATCTGAAAGATGATGAGGACGAAATAGATGCGAGATGCGTAGACAAAGAGTTGGTTCCATCGGCTTTTTGATGAAGACGGTGGCGCGGTTGAGCTCACAATGGCCATCGGAATTGAAGCAGGGAACGTCGACGGTCAGAGAAAGTCGTGGAGTAGGCGGCAGGGTGCCGGAGATTGAAGCCGGAAGGGAGCTGGATTTCGCTGTCCGTTGTCGTATACTCGTAATGAATTGCTCAAATAGCTACAGTATCTCCGTTGTCACTTTGTAAATATAATAAATTACTTTCTTTCTTTATTTAAAAAAGGCTTATTAGAAAAGAAAAAAAAAAAAAGCTTATTAGTGTTTTTTTTTTTTTTTTTTTTGGAATAAGGGTCAAATAGGCCTCAAAAAATATGTAATTGGGTTTTTAAACTAATCAATTTAATGCAATTAGTCTTTTTTTTTTTTTTTTTTTTTTTTTTTAAGGTCAGCCAATGTGGTTGTATTTATAGATAAGCTGAAATGGAGTCTGGTAGGACATCATCCCAATACATAGCCGTAGTAAAATCAAAAGCTGTAGTAGCTAAAGTGTGCGCTAGTAAATTCTGTAATCTAGGATTAAAAACGACTGAGCAAGAAGTAAAAGCAGACATGTAAACTCTGCAATTATCAATAGCATAATCAATATATGTTCGGGGTGTCTGGTGTGGATGGATAACACTGTAACGTCTGACAATCCGTGTGAAGCTGTATAGACTGTTCACCACACGCCCTTAGCCATGATAAGGCCTCTCATGCAGTTAGTCTAATTTGAAGGTTTTTAAAGTTTCTACCGAGTCACCTCATTTTTTTTTTTTTTTGAAAATAATAAGTGGTAATTCCATTAGAAGTAAGTCGTAATAATGTCAGGTGGGAAAAGATCACAATACATAGCAATAGAATGCTGGAAAGCTGTAGATGCTAAAACATGTGCTAAATAATTGTCTGATCTAGAAATAAATTTAAACGAACAGAAATCAAATGAAGATGTAGCTGCTCTGCAGCTGTCAATGACATAGCCGATGTAGGAACGAACTGTAGATGGTGGTGTAGTAAGATAACGCTGTAGCGTCAAGCAATCCGTGTATAGCTCTATTGACCGCTCGCCCCGATTTTTTAACCATGATAAGGCTTCTTTGCATACAAATGCCTCGGCCATAAGTGGTGAGAAACAATCCGGGAGGAGTGCACTGAATGCCGCAACATATCCCCCATCCATGTCGAGGAGAACTGCACCTATCGTCGCCTTGCCTATTTCGTAGAGGAATCCGACGTTGACGCGGCAAATCCTCGGTGGCGGCATGGCTTCCGTAGCAGTCGGTATAGCCGACTATCCGTGCGGCAGTGGCGGTGGTGGGCCATTTTGGTTTGTAAGACTCAAAACAATTTTGTGAGCATAGACGGAGCCAAAGGGGGAGCAGGGGGGTCAGCTGCCCCCCCCTCACCTCACCCCCACCCCTACCCCTACCCTTACTACATATATAATTTTTGTATGTATGTATGTGTATATAGTACATTTTTTAGTATTAGTATATAAAAACTGTTAATTGTTCATAAGAAATGAGTTAAATTAGTTGGTAGAGCATGCATTTGGTTATAATAAAGGTTAGGCGTTTGAAGCATATAGTTTTTTGGCTCCTTCCCTATGACTCTAACACAATCACGTTTTAATAGTTTTTTTAATATTTGATACACACACACATACATACATACATATATATATATATATATATATATATATATATATATATATATATATATATATATATATATATTCAAATTATTTTATCAAATTAATTATGTTTCATATTTTGTTATGAATATTTTTATAAAGTTTCGATTTGTTTTATTTTTCGCCCATATCCAATAATATTTACACCTATATTTCTTAGGTAATTTATTTATTTATTTTTAAATATCTCTTTTATTTTAATGTTTCGCATTTACTGAAAAAAATTTGTGAATCGGTCCCTATTTCGCCCCCCCCCCCCTCAACAAAATTCATGGCTCCGTCCCTGTTTGTGAGCTAGACATATAAGTAAGACTCATTATGTTCAGTTCGTTTAAAGTGGACATTGAAGTTATTTGGGAAGCTATGGTGTATGATTAATATTCCAAATTTATGAACTTAGACCTTTGGTTTATTGTCTAAGTTATTGGAATGTTTCTGTGACTTGACTATCTTTTGGCTATTTTTGATGAGTGAGAGTGACAGACGTGTCAACTCCAAGCTCTTAGCTGTTAGAGGTAGTGCTTAAAGTTAACTTATAAAGAAGTCATAGAATATAGTTAGCATTATGCTAAGATTAAGAGATCTCTACTTAAGGCATGCTTCTAAAGTTTTAGAGATCATACAGTGTACTCTTTTGTACCAGAGATTCGTCTCCATGCCCGGAGACGAAGAAACCTTCTTCGTCTCTTGCCAGACGAAGAAACCGTCTTCGTCTCCGGCCAGAGATGAAGAAGTCTCCATGGCCTGAGACGCGGCGACCTTTTTTTTTTTTTTTTTTTTAAATAATTATTTTTTTAAAAATACTTTAAATTTGGGGTAACAAGTTAGAAATATGAAAAATCTGTAAATTGGACTAACTACATGAGATTGGTTAGTTTAGAGACCCAATTGCATATTTTTTTTTAGTTCAATAACCTAATTGCATTTTAGTAAATTTGGGGTGACCGGTTAGAAACCCGAAAAACCTGCAAATTGGACTAATTGCATGAGATTGGTTAGTTTAGGGATCCAAATGGCTTAATTGCATTTTGGTGTGTAGTTCTTCGATGACATATTTGACCCTTATTCCTTTTTTTTTTGGTATGTTATGGGTTAAATGCATTTTGATCACCTCTTCTTTCCTTCTCTCAAAATGTTGAATCCCCAATTCTACCCGACAAAGCATTTAGGATGATGTAAATCGCGTTGATTCAATGGTTCAGCAAATATGACCAAATGTTAGTACATGACAAAATGTATGCCGAGTCTTTTATCTCAAATACTACCTATTGAATCAATGAGCTAAACTCATACCGGCCACCTCTCCTATATATATATACTTTGATGAGCAAAAGATTTAATACACAAGCCAGTTATAGTTTGATTATCATGCTCAGTTTAGTTTCAGTTATAGTGTATTACCATACTCAAATCCAAAAATCAAACCCTTGTTACTCAACCGCACCCCAAGCTATAATCGTCGTCATTGATTACTCTAAATTTTGCGTAGAGTTAATTTCACTAGAGGTCCCTTGTCTTTGGTGCAATTCCAAATTTAGTCCCACACTATCGTTTTTGTCATTTAACATCCTAGACTATTATTTTTTGGACACTTTTAGTCTTCTCATGACTTTTTTTATTTTTAGTAAGGGAATTTTTGTCTCTTCATATTTTTTTTTTGTTATTTTTCTAATTTTAACCGATTTAATTGGTTTAAGACTTTAACTAAAAACCGGTTGAAAATATGGTTACTAAAAATTAGAGGTTACCTAAAGTTCGAACTCAATTAAATCGGTTGAAACTGAAAAAAATAACAAAAGAAAAATATGAAAAGACAAAAAATACCGTTCCTAAAAATAAAAAAAAAAAATTATAAGAAGGACCAAAAAATAATAATTTGGAGTGTTAAATAACAAAAACAATAATTTAAAATTAAATTTAAAATTTTCACCTTTTGACACACACACACACACACACACACACACACACACACACACACACACACACACACACACACACACACACACACACACACACACACACACACACACACACACACACACACAAGTGAACACAAAAATATCAGAAATTGCAGCAAATCCCCGTTAAAAGTTAAAACCCCTTCAACGATTTCTCTATCTGAAAGACAGGAGAAAAATGGCTATGGCAGCTTCAACATCTCTGCGCATTTCCATCACACTCCAGTGCTCCCGTAACAACGCCTTCTTTGTGGACCGGCCCTTTAGCCGAACCAACCTCCCTTTCCCACGCCACCGTTCTTCTTCCTCCCTTCTCACCTTCGCTCGCCGGCGAAGCAAGCCCCACCGCCCTGCTACCACTTCCTCTAACAAAAAGAAACAAAAGGTATCGCCAAAAGAGCTCTTCGAATGTCTATTTTCTTTTGTTTTCCAATTAATTGGATGAAAAAAGTTTAATCGCATGGATATCTAGAGAATGCATATTCTAATTTTTGAATTCTCGTGAGATAAAATGCCATTTTAGTACCTGCTGTTTGATGTTTTATCTTTATTGAATAAGAAAAAAATATAAAGTATTATTTACTATGTAAAATTTAGGGATTGGGATAGTTTTGATAGCATGGCACTCCAGTTTATAAGCTAATTGGAATATCTTTAAAAATTATGTAAGTTTTGCGTGATGTAGTTTGATTAAGATTATGTGAAAGCTGTATTGAATTTGCATTGGTGATTGGTTTAAGGGTTTTGGTTTCAGTTTCATTGGCAGGAATATTTGTAGAAATTGATTATGTGATGAAGAAATGAGTTCAGTAGTATTTTGTTAACAAGGTTAAATTGATGACTTTTACACTTTGTATTTGTATGTATGCTTTGTTTCTTTGCATTGAGTGAAAGACTATGGCCTCCCTAATCTTCACTATATAAGCACAATAACTGAATACTATAAATTGTGAACTTTATGTTCGATCTTTGTTTTATGTGGTGAATTTTTTCTCAGAGGGACGATGAGGAAGATGAAGATTTAGATGAAGATGCTTTTGAGGCGCTGTTTCGTCAGCTTGAAGAAGATCTGAAAAATGACAAACTCTCTTTGGATGATGATGATGACGATGAAATAACAGAGGAGGACCTTGCAAATCTTGAGCGTGAACTCGAAGAGGCTCTGAAGGATGATGAGCTATCCGGAGTTTTTGAATCAATTGTAGATGGAGAAATTAAAAATGTAGCTGAAGAGGAAGAAGAAGAAGAAGAAGAAGAGGGTGAGGTAGCTGCAGCTATAAAAGGAGATGAAGATGATGATGATGATGAAGAAGATGAAGATGAAGATGAAGATGAAAAGCCAGTAAGATTGAGAAATTGGCAACTTAAGAGACTGGCTTATGCACTAAAAGATGGTCGACGAAAGACAAGTGTAAGTTTCTATTCTTTTTTTGAATGTTACTGACTCTATTACATTGTAGTATCTGGTCAAACATACTTTTTTTGGTGAATTTGTTTTGTGATTTGATAGTAAATCTCAATTTGTGAGAGGACGTTTCTTCTTTTAAACTTATTTTTCTCAACCATGCAAATGTGTGATTCTCAAAATCTTCATCTCAGTTAATAATTAATCCAGACATGTGATTCTCTATGGTTTAACACTTTACGTGCAGATAAAAAATCTTGCAGCTGATGTCTGTCTTGACAGAGCTGTTGTTCTCGAACTACTCCGTGATCCTCCTCCGCATCTTGTATTGCTGAGTGCTGCCTTACCTGATAAACCTATTTCAACAATCTCAGAGCCTCCGAGCATCCCACTCGAAACTGTTCCTCTGGAAGAAGCCACGGACACTGCAGAAACAAAGACTACGGTGGAAATGCCAGTTCATGTTATGCAACGCAACTGGGCTGCTAAAAAGAGAATTAAGAAAAAGCAACTTGAAACCCTTGAACTAGTTTATCGAAGATCGCAGAGACCAACTGTGAGTAATGTTATATCTAAACCTGTGTTCTTATTTCTTATGGATTAATGGGTGCTCTCCAATATAAACTGGACCATTAGCAATTTGCAAGAAAAGTGATACCCAGATTATAGGAATCATTATTTGGTGGAGTGGCGTTGATCAATTTCTTTGGACTGAGGAAGAGATTGTGTCTTGCAAGCCTAAATGGCTAAATATTGCAATTATACAATTAAGAACGACTCAACCTTAATCACAACTTACAACATAAAAATCAGTTACCTTCATTTACATGTCATTGCCCCTCTAAGCTATAGTTTCAGTTCTTTCTGTTTGTTTATTTCGACTCGATTTGAAGTAAACAGCCAGTCTAAGAATTCTATTAGTATTATAATTTTACGATTTTATTGCCATTTAAACAAATGCAGAATGCGATGATTAGCAGCATTGTGCATGTCACCAATCTTCCCCATAAAAGAGTTGTGAAGTGGTTCGAAGACAAGCGTGCTGGGGACGGTGTTCCTGATCATCACATTCCAAAGCTTCCATACCGGCGATCTGCTGCTCCCGAGATTCCCCCCAGTTGATACAAGGTCATTCAGACTTCTTGTATGTACCTTTAACACAATTTTGTTTCTTGTAAATGTGACTTTCTAAAGTTCAATTTATTAAAATGTAGAAGTAACAATTGTCAGCGATAAACAATTTCGATTGATTGATGCTTTTAGCCTTTTAGTTCAGTAGCAAGGATGCCATAAAGTACAACATATCCTTTCCCAATCAAGGATGGTAAGTTGGAATTCTGGTTTATTTGACGGAGAGAGTTAATAAGACCATGGACATAATATTTTAAGGGAAATCTTGAATAATTGTCTATGAGTCATACTATATTTATCTATTAAAATTATTTTAAATTTGTACTTTTGGAAAAATTGCAGTTTTAGCATATGAGTTATAGGGTATGGGTAATTTTTGCCCGTAATTAATATGGAGTTATAATACTTTATAGTACCCCTAGTTTTTTTTTTTTTTTTTTTTTTTTTTTTTTGAAAACTATGGTACCCCTAGTTAGTCACCAATGTGGTGTAATTTGTCTTTGTTTCGATGGATAAAGTTATTTTGGATGAAAACCTAAACAATATTTATACATAAAAAAGTTGTTTACAAAAGTGAAAAATTTATTGGATAGAAATCTAAATAACACCCAACAAATTCCTCACTTCCTCAGTAGTTATAGCAACATGCGCCCAATATATTCATATAGTTTCTTCTCATACTTTTTTTTCAAGTTAAATTTAATTTTTCTTTTTCTTTTTTTATAAATAAAATTAATGTATAAAAAAAATATAGGGAAAATAACACTTTTCCCTGAGTTATATATTAACACTTTTCTCCCTTAAATTATTCAAGTGACAATTTTTCCCCCCTGATATGTTAAATGGGTATATTTGTCTTTAAAATAAATATTTCATTTATTTTTCTTTTTTAACAAATTATGACCACTATTTGGTTCAAACCGAACAGACACTATAGCAATCAAATTGAAATATTCCGATTACAATTTAGAATCGAAACTCGATATTTAGAGTTTATTAAAATCGCGAACCGGAACGGCCAGTTCATGTTTCGAATTGAAAAAATAAAATACATTTATTGTTGAATTTTGACTATTTTAGAAATAAAAAAATAAAATTTTAAAATAAATTTTGAACAACAGTTCAAACTGGATCTGGAATTGTGAACCGGCGGTTCAAAATCAAAACCAAATCGCAGTCATATATACTTATATGTGAGAATCAAAATAAATGTAAAAAAGAACCTACACTATTTGTAAATATTATAATTCTAATTTTAAGCTAATGCTAGTAGTTATTCCGATTTGAACCGTCGGTTCACGGTTCAGGATTTAATTTTTTCGATTCATGATTTTAATAAACTGAAACCCAAATATTGGGTATTAGATTTGAATCATAACCGAAAATTTTCAATTCGATTGCTATAGTTTCCGGTTTAGTTCGAACCGAATCGTGGTTATTCCTACGTATAAGTAATAATTTGTTGGAGAAGAAAAATAAATAAAATGTTTACTTTAAGGGTAGAAATGTCAATTTAATATATCAGGGAGAAAATCGACACTTTTAGAATAATTGAGGGGGCTAATGTGATTATATGAATAATTCAGGGAGGAAATGTGCTATAAATATATAATTCATAGGGAAAATACTATATATATATATATATATATATATATATATATATATATATATATATATATATATATATATATATATATGCTCAAGAAGGTTGAGGCCCTAAGTCTACGAGAGGCTCTTAGTTGGTTAAAGGAAACAGGTATGGAAGGAGTGGACGTTGAAATGGATTCACAGATTGTTTTCAATGTCATTCGCACTTGTTCCTTTTATTCTGCTTTTGGATTTTTAATTGACGATATTAAAGAATTAGCGTCCATTACAATCGTTATGCTATGGACTCGTGTCCAGCATGCATGCGCGCTGGACACGGGTAACAGTGCCGTTAGTGGCACTGTTATCTTCCACATCTTTTTTTTTTTTTTTTTTTTTTTTTTTTAAATTTCAGGCGGCTTCGTTTTATGAGTACATGTTCATAATTTTATTACTATATATTCATAATTGTAAGTTCATAATGTCAAAGCTCTATGTTCATAATTCAATAACTGTACATTCATACTTCCATAACTGTACATCCATAATTCCGTAACGGTACATTCATAATTCAATAACTGTAACTTCATAATTTTCGAAGCTCTATGTTCACAATTTTAGAGCTCTATGTTCATAATTTTATCACTATATGTTCATATTGTAAGTTCATAATGTCAGAGCTCTGTGTTCATAATTCCATAACTGTACATTCATAATTGCATAACTAAATTCCGTAACTGTACATTCATAATTCAATAACTGTAAAATCATAATTTCGAAGCTCCATGTTCACTATTTTAGAGCTCTATGTTCATAATTTTATCACTATATGTTCATAATTGTATGTTCATAATGTCAGAGATCTCTGTTCATAATTTTATAACTTACATTCATAATTCCATAACTGTACATTCATAATTCCATAACTGTACATTCATAATCCCATAACTGTACATTCATAATGGCACAAACGAATAACGCCGTTAACGGCGAGACAAAATCAATTTTTTTTTTAACTGGAATGACGCGTTTTCCCTGAAAACGACGTCGTTTTGGACTCGTGTCCACAATGCATTGTGGACACGGGTCCAGGGCATAATTTGTCCGTCCATTATTGGGGATGTTGAATTCCGTTTTGTAAAGCGATCTGCGAATTACGCCGCCCATTTTGTTGCTTGGGAGGCCCTTTCTGTGTCAGTCTGTCAGGTTGCGGGGATTGGTTTGACTCTCCTCCATCGTTTCTTGTAAGCATTCTTGCTAGTGATTCAATGAATTAATTTTTCGTTCTCAATTTTTTATTTAATAAATAAATCTATATGTAAATAAAGTCATTACTTTAGTGTAATATTTATGTACATTAAGCTTGATATTTATGAATATATAGAAAGAACATTATGAACTTGCTATAGAATGAATGAAAATACATATGATGTACATTTAGTTTAGTGTTTATGGACATTAAGGACACCTCCAACCAACACGCCATATCACCAAATCAGGAAAAAAAAAATGGCATGAAGAGCCTCCAATCAACTCGCTATAACACCATTTTTTTGGTGCACTATGAACAGTGCAGCTCCATATTTGGCGATGCACTGTTCATCTACACCAAATTTTGGTGTGGTTTTTATTCCCATTTTACCCCCAATTTGTATTTGTAATTTCTGTTATGTCCTTAGTTTAGTTTTAATGTATTTGTATATTTTGTTATATATTTAAACATAAATTGTATATTATTAAAAAAAAATTGTATATGAGAATATAAATTATTTTAGTGTATGAATATAAATTACTTTAGTGTAGGAATAAGATTTGGTGTAAATGGGTTGGAGATGAAAAAAATTGGTGTAAGAATATATGCTGAGAATATTCCTTTTAGTGTAAAATTTGGTTTTTTGAGTTGGAGATAATGAAAGTGCATTTAGAGCAACTACACCAATAGATTTTGGTGGGTTTTTGGTACAGAGCTAAAAAAAGATTGGTTTTTTTTATTGATGGGAGATGGAGTTTTTTTTTGGAGCATTTAACTCATGCAAGAACAAGATTTTAATGGGCATCACTAATTGAGAAAGGAAAGCAAAGCAGCACACGAGTACTCACATGCGGGAGATGCAGCGCACCACCTGGGCGTGCAGGGACGGAGCCAGAAATTCGATTGAGGGGGCGAAGACGTAGGGACGGATTCAGAAATTTTTTTCAGTAAAGGCGAAATATTAGAACAAAAGAGATAATTTAAAAAAAAAAAATACCTAAAAAATATAGTTGAAAATATTGTTGGATATGGGCAAAAAATAAAACACATTGAAACTTTATAAAAAAATTCATAACAAAATATGTTTGGATGTGGGCGAAAAATAAAACACATCGAAACTTTATAAAAATATTCATAACAAAATATAAAACATAATTAATTTAAATAAAGTTCATATCAAAATATGTTTGGATGTGGGCGAAAAATAAAACACATCGAAACTTTATAAATATATGTTAATGTCAAAGGATTTAAACCCTTTGACCTTTACAATTGCCAAAGATGTGTTTTACACACTAATCTAACTCATTCTTATTGACATTTAATAGTTTTTTTTATACTACTAATACTAAAAACCTGTACTATATATACATATATACATACAAAGATCATATATGGGGTGGGGGTGGGATGAGGGGGGCACCCGTCCCCCTGCCCCCCTTTGGCTCCGTCCCTGTGGGCGCGTGCATAGCACGCTGGCGCGTCTGCTGGGCTGCTGCGTCAGATTTCGTTTTTTTCCTTTTTCTTTTTCTTTTACCTTCTTCTCAAACTCTTCTCTTTCCTAGTGTCACATAAAAAATTGTATAAAATCTTCTATTAATATAGTAATACTAGTATTTTATATGCACGATGCGCAAAAAATATATGCCCAATATTAAAATTAAATATTAAAATCTTAGTTATATTAATTTTTTTTAAAAATAGTGTGTGTGTGTGTGTGTGTGTGTGTGTGTGTGTGTGTGTGTGTGTGTGTCTATATATATATATATATATATATAATCGCACTCAGGTGCGAATGCTTCGCCCAAGAGCGAAATAGGAATAGATTCTGTCTGTCCACGTGTCCAGATCTAATGGATGAGAAACACTGATTTTTTTAAAAAAGTGCGGTGGCATTTTCGTAAATAATTGAATATCGAAGTGCAAGTAAAATGTATTATAAGTGCATGTAAAATGTATTATAGGCGCAAGTAAAAATTTACGCTGAACATCAATACTAAGTGCACCTATAGTTATAAGTAGTTGCACATATAATTTTAAGTCGTTGCACCTAGTTGCATGAATGTTTGCGGGTGGTTTTCAATGGTATTACTACCAGCTGAACTCAGATCAATGAATGTTAACAAGACAAAATTACATTCACTTATAGGTGAAAGTAGACGCACTTATAGTTATAAATAGTTGCACCTATAGTTATAAGCACACCCAAGTGGATGAATGTGTGCGGGAAGTGAATGCTAACAAGGCAAAATTACATGCACTTATAGGTGAAAGTAGGTGCACTTGTAAGTGATTTTACTTGCACTTCAATGTTCAATTATTTACGAAAATGCCACCGCGTTTTTTTTAAGCTATTAGATCTGGACACGTGTCGTGCGCTGATTCGTTCGCATATTCCTTCCTGGGCACTTATTCGCACCTGAGTGCATCCCTATATATATATATATATATATATATATATATATATATATATATATAT